ATAAATGTGCCTGGGAGGATAACTACAGAAAATATTGCAAGAACACGAAAATAAACTCTTCTTTTATTATCAAGCTGACCTAAGCTGGCGTCCACAGCCTCAGGGCAAACTGTAACTGGTTGTTCAGTAGGGGGCTTGGTGTGCCCTTTGCCTTACTTAGGTGACCTGAAATTCAACTGCAGGATGAACTGGTTGTGCTACTCTCTTCTCACTGTCAATCAGTGAAGAAATACAGCTCTTGTACTATAATGAGAGAGGGACATCTTGCAGCAACTTGCCCAGGGGACTGAGACCACTACTATTCCACAGGACCTGGGACACCAGGGATGACATCACTGCAGGACTGACTGCCTTAGGAAAGAGGGGAGGGTTCTCAGGACTATTCCTCATGCCTTACACTGGCAATTACATCATTTGGCTGTGAAATTTTCCATAAAATTGAAAGGGCAAGGAAAAAAATTATCCTATTTTCTTTTAAAGTGGTTCAAAGCAGGAAGAAAGTATAAATGTGTAGCCATAAGAAGGGAATTTTTTCTTATTCTTGTATTTATACTTTCAAGTGTAAATGGGTAATTCACTCCAGTTCTGTATCTAGATTTTCTTATTCAAAACAAGACAAACATATTACTTATCTATTTTTTTATGTATTTAGTACAAGGTCTCCAGGGTCTCACTACTTAAGATTGGACTCGTAGTGATCCTCCTGTTTACAGCCCCCCAAGCACTGGGATTACAGGCACGTGCTGCTGAGCCCAGTCTAAACCGCTGTCTCACTGTGTCAGAGGGAGGGGCGGCATGGCAGGCCTGGGGATCGAACCCTGGCCCCTGCCTCTGCCTAAGCAGGTGCTTTAATCCGCTGAGCTATTTGGCTGGCCCTTTACTTATCTATTTTTTTTAAAAAAAACTATTTTTAAAATATCAATTACTTAGCTATTTTTAAAAAATGGACTAGGCAGAAATGTATTTAGCAATAGTAAGAATCAAGTGCACCTCCAGGTAATAAATATGTAATCTGAGAGTGTAGGATTGCTCTATGAAAAGTAGGAATTCGAAGGTTTGGAGCCCCATTTGTTACAAATGGTCCTGAAGCAAACCGTGTCGCGTCACGGTAATGAAGCCCTAAGAGCAGCAGGCCTGCCTGGAGCCCCGTGATGCGCTCCTGGCAGCCTGGCTGCCCCTGTGTGCAAAGCCGAATCCCAGTGGTGAGCACCATTACCGCGTGCCTGGGCCTGATGAACCCGAGAGGTGAGGGCAGTGGCTCCCTCTCGCTTCACAGCCCGCTGTTAGTCACTTTAACAGGCCCAATTAAGCCTGAACTAACTCCCAGTCTAACAAGTGCCTTGAGTGTGGAGGGCGAGGGAAAGTCTCGCATCAGGGACCGAGAGGCCATGAAGGTTTCTGCTTGTCCTGCAGGAGACAGCTGTCCCAGTGGAAGTCTTGGTGTCACTTCCTGGTAGCCCCAAGCTCTGCTGTGCTGAAGGAACAAATAAGATCGGGGAGCCTCGCCTTGCCAGGAGGAGCAGCCCAGAGCACACCTGCACCACAGCTGCCAAGGTAAGTGGACCTCCAGGTTCTTTCATTTACTCAGGTGTGCCAGGAAAATTTCCATCTGAAGAAGTATTAGCCAGACCGGTCATCACCCATCACTCCCTCGTGGTAGTTCAGGGCGCTTCTTCAGAGGGGCGGGGGATGTTATAGGTAGCTAAGTCAGACAGAAATACTATGGAGAATCAGGTAGGCTGGGCCCTCGAAGGAGCCAGTGCGGAAGACAGATGCCCTCAACCATGGGGGAGACAGACACCTCCACTGGGGGCCAGACCTGAAGATAAAAGATTAAACACACGCACTCACGTCCTTCCTGAGGATACATCCGTCTCCGACGAACCTGAGCTGCTGTGGAGAGGGTGTTGGCGGCTGAGGTGCTCCCCTTGACCTCTGAACTTTAAAACGCAAAGGCAGAGGAGAAGGGGGCCAGTTCATGGGTTTCAAAAATGTCGAGGCTCTGGCTCTCTATTTAGGGAGAGACGTCATCAGCAAGCTCAGGCTTTGGTCAGGAATCTCTCCTTACTCTTTTCCCACTTTTATTATTTTAATTTTTAAGACAAATCTGCTGAGAACTTCTTACTCAAGGCTTTCAAACATTTGAGGATACAACCCACAGTAAAACAAGCAAACAGGAAATTGTTTGATACAGCTCCGTAATCTCTCCTTACTCTTGCAGGAATCAGAAAGGTACAGGACTCTTGGGGTTCATTTTCTTCCACCTCCAGTTTTACATGACACTTGACTCTGTGGGTATCTCTTCCTATTTTAAAATTCGAACATTTCATTTCTGGTGGTCTTTTAAATTTCAAAATGGGCCAAATTGAATGTTTTATGTTACAAATTTCCTCAGTGCATTTCTGTTTCATTTTAGATTTTGCTGCCTGCATTTATGCATGCATTTTTCACATGCTAACACACAAAGTTATATTATTTTTGACATTTAATTGTTTATGTATTTCTTTGTAGTTTATAGAAGCCCGTCTTGCTATGCATCTTTGGCTGGCTTGAACTTACTGAAATCCTGTGCTTCAGCCTCCTGAGTGCTGTGACTACAGGCAAGTGTCTCCACACCCAGTATTATATTATACTTGTAAGTTAATTTTGCATGCCTGTGTTTCTTAGGAGAGGTAGTATCAATGATTGAGGAAAAATTTACAGTTCTTCTTGCAAGAACACTGTAGTTCAAGAACACTATCGTTCCTCTTTCAAGAAATAACTTGCTTTATTTATGTACTAGTGCTTTGAGTAAGAAGCAATATTTTCATCTTTTATTTGGGAAAACGCCCTGATAAAGATGCTCTGTTTTGCTTCTACTAATTTGGTGTCAGATCCCGGTGCCATTTAATCTCTATTTAAATGCTAAGACTGACTTTTAAAGCAGCTTATTAAAGCATTTTCCGAGACAGTCAGGAAAATGGGTGCTTCCTCCCTTTTCTGACATTCTGACTTCATGAGAAAGAAGGAGTCTCTAGCAGGCATCTCAGAACTGGTCCTAAACATCACTGTGAGCTCTGGAGTCTGGGGAAAGTAACTGGGGCTGGAGCAAAGGAGCCTAGTTCTGCCACAGAGAGACAGAAAGCTCCAGGAGGGCTTGGAAAGGCCATCAGGATGTTGTATGTGGAGGCAGCGACTGCTTCCAAACTACACTTCCTCACTGAACGCTTGGTTACCTTTGCGGACTCTGGGCCCGGCTGCTCGTCCAGTGCTGCAACACGTCACGCTGTGGTGTCTGTTATCTGTGCTGCTCCACAAGAGCCAATGCTCCCCTTGGCCAGGGAGGGACTGGCAGCCCCAGCTGAATTTCCTCCAGGGCGGAGGTCAGCAGAAGCCAAGCCTGGGCCCATCCTGGGGTGTGCAGTGCATGTTATCAGATGTCTCAGGACAGAACCTCTAAAGCAGAGCTTTAATAGTCTGTTGCAATGAGGACAGGTGCCTCCTGAATGGCAGGCCAGTGCTGTGCACACTCTGGTGCAGATGCTATGGATGGTGTCAAACAGCAGGATTTAGTTCATTCTGGAGAAAATGCTCATGCTTTGTCCTAAATTCTAAATGAGAAATTGCAGGTCTCAGTTGCAATCGCCAGCACATTCCTATAGTTAACTATGTTGGGTAAAGGAAAGATAAAATAGGCTGCAAATTTCACTAGAATGGTCTTTCCTGTCGTATTGTGAACTCCTGACCAACTCTTTGATTTTTTATATGCCAACATTGCTTCAAGTAAGTTTGTGAACAACAGCTAATATTGCAGTGTCCGTATTCTTCACAAGCAGTTATCTAAGTACAGCACAGAGCACTGAATTATCCCCCTTCTCCTGATCCTCTTTGGTAAAAGCCTGCTGACAGCCAGGCCGAGCCCTATCCAAGGCCACAGGGTCCACGTGGGAACTCAGAACTCTTCCCAAGTCTTGTAGAAAACCATTCCCGGCTTCCTCTAGGACATCAGGCCCTGCTACTGCTGGTTGTTTCTCTAATATTTTTTTAGGGAAGACAATTCTGACCGATGGATGTTACCTGATTCAGCTTTACTGTTTGGTTGCTATGTAGAAAGTTATACATTTGGAATTGATGGTGAAGACTACAAAAACCTGCAGACTTACAAGCAGTGTATTGTAGAGTCAATTTCAGTGTAGACAAAAGGAAACATTCAGTCACATATGGGAATAAAATGTGTAGAATTTAGAAGCAAAAAGATAAATTAAAAAACTTGGAAATTGGCCTGCTCCCCGAATTAGAGGCATAAAGGAAAGATGACCAAACCAAGACACACTGTACCAGTGAGGACGTGATCACACATGACACTGCCTAAGGATGGTGAAGAAACAGGATTGAAAAGTATCCGGTGGGACTGAGGGAAGCAAACAGGCTAAGCCGGAGGGTGGGGACATCAGCATTGCATCATGGGAGTAGGATAGACTGAAGACTTAGTTATTATGGAGAGGATTTTCTGCTCAATTTATCTACCAGGAAACTGAATGTAGGTGGAACACAGAAGGATTTGAACAAGAAAATAGACTTCTAGTATGGAAGTAAATAGAGAATCTGGGTTAAAAATCATGATTTCTAGTAGTATCCTTCAGGTTTATATTTGAGAATGCACAGAATAATACATAGGCAAAAAAGGAATATATCCTTTTCACAAATGTGCACTGTTGGGACTGGTAAGATAGCTCAGCAGTCTAAAGTGCCTGCGTAGGCAAGCTTAGACAAGCGCACAGTGACTGTGGTTCAATCCCTGGCACCACTTGCCACGCCGGCCCTGCCCCCCAGGATGGGCTGATCGGTCCACAAAACAAACAAAAAATGTGCACTGTTAAATACAGCATGACTTTCCCTTATACTTCAAATATTGCTATTCTATGAAACTTTTTGTACAGATACATATGATTACTGCCTACTGATGCTGTCTTCAGAAAGGTGTTTGCTGAACCCAACCTCTTCTGTCAGTGCTGTAAGAAATGATTTTGAATCTTCTCAAGGGAACAGTCCTGGCCTTCCTGACTACACTTGGCACAGCAGGGAACACCTTTGTTTTTATAAGTCATGTACTCATGTTTGGGGGCGCTGAGAAGAAAGCCACGCACCTTATTCTCATCCATTTGGCCTTCACACATATCATAATGCTTCTGTCCAAAGGCATGCCAAGCACAATAGCTGCTTTTGGGGTGAGACACTTCCTCGATGACACAGGCTGTAAGGTCGTGTGCTACCTGGAGCGGGTGGCCCGGGGCCTCTCCATCTGCACCAGCAGTCTCCTCACGGTGGTCCAGGCCTTCACCGTGAGCCCCAGTCACTCCAGGTGCAGGAGGCCCAGGTCTGCGTGGTTCATTCTTCTTTTGTTTCCCTTCCTCTGGATATTTAATTTTTTGACCAACCTCACCTTACTCGTTTATATCAGAAGTACTAGTGAAAACACATCACAAATTAGCACAAGTGACTACTATTGCTCTTTTCAGCCAGAAAATCAGAAGGTAAGATGGATCATACTTGGTACCATGGCCTTCCGGGACGCTGTGTCTCAGGGCGTCATGTGCGGCGCCAGTGGCTACATGGTGCTTCTTCTCCATCAGCACCACCAGCGTGTTCTCCAGCTGCGGAGCTCCAAGGTCCTCTGCAAAACTCCCGCCGAGGTCAAAGCTGCCCAAAGTGTTCTCCTTCTGATGCTCTGTTTCCTCCTCTTTTATTGGGCAGATTGTGTTTGTAATCTACTGATTTCCATGGTGGAGAATAATCTTATAATAAATGTCCGAGAGTTTCTCACCCTTGGTTATGCGATTCTCAGCCCCTTTGTGTTGATTCACAGGGATGGACACGTGGCTGCGTGCCACTTCCCTCAGAGGGAGAGCGGGGCTTTCAGGAGATATTTATTGCCTGCAGCTTTTCAGTAAATGAATTTGAAAGCAACTCTTAGATTTGTTGTGCTCTATGTATAGAATAATCCAGCGAAAGTAGCTGATACATATGAAGTTGCACTGTCCTACAGTAAAGCTGGTGATCGTGGTGAGTTGCCGCAGAGATAATGGGAAAGGCCCCCCTCGGTCCTCACTGCAAAGCGCGCATCCCTTCAGAAAGCGGTGACGTCATGCCTGTTAGAAAGCTCTGACACCAGCACTGCTGGTTACAAGGAGGAATGATGGTGTGACTGAGCCTTGAGGGCTAACCCTTTTGTCCTTGTTCCACAACCCGCTTGGCAGGCATATGTGTTCACGTAGTAACGAAATAATAACGAAAGAATAATAAAACAAATATTAACTATTGTAGCACTTTTAAAGGTAAACCTAAGTATTTGGTAAAATGGCAATTTTGCTTTTTTAATTCAATTTTTATTTTAAACTTTTATTAGTAAAGGTTTGCAGTACAGAATGTTTACAATAACTGTAGACAATGGGCACACATAAATACAATATATTAATTGTTCCCTGTCCTCCACTCCTTTTCTACTTCCAACATCATGTTCATCTTACAAGAATTTAGGAAGTTACTTGTCACATGTACAGATAAAAAGCCAGACCAATGGGCCAGGACATGCAAAACATGTAAGACTTTTGTGCCAAGTCCAGGAGCTTGTGTGCAAGTGGCCCTTGCACACTCTCTGTGTTGGGACACTGGGGAGAGCGGGAGGGCCCCTGAAAATGTGATTGCCTGTTCCGGGAGACACTCTTTAGCAATGAAACAAAGGTGGGATTCCATTGTCTTTGTCTTTTCTGACTTGTGGAATCTTTAAATGCATTTTAAGCCAGTGAATTAAATATTAATATGATTCTAATTTTTGTCCTGCTCAAAACATCGTGTGGTATTGATTTTATCCTGACAGATGACATCTGCTTCTCTCTGTTTGTGTTTTGGTTTTTAACTAAGACTTTGCTTTGTATTTTTGTTAGGCTGCCTGTGATATAAATGTTTCCGTAGAGTGAATGTTTCAGTCAGCTCACCAGTGTACGGGGCTGTTGAGAGAAGTCTGGGACACATTATGGCGATTTCACTTCTTCACATCAGAAATTTGAGAGCTACTATAGAGAAACAGTCACGCCATTATCACAAATGTCTTTCTACATTTCTTCTATGTTGCTATACTAATTTGCACATTTTACTTTTGTAGTAAATAGTGGTGAATGCCTAGTTCTTTTTTTTATTTTATGTATTTAGTACAGGGTCTACTGGGTCTCACTACATAGATCAGATTTGTAGTGATTCTCCTGTCTTCAGCCTCCCAAGAGCTAGGAATTGAACTCGGGGCCTTGTGCTTGCAAGGCAAGTGCCTATACCACTGAGCTATCTCCTCAGCCCGAGTGCTTAGTTCTTAGTATGATTCTGTCATGCCAGACAGATTTCTAGTAACTAACTAATGTTTTTGTATCACATTGTAAAATATTTAGGAGATTATCATTTTTGTATAAGCATTGCTTGTTTGAAGATGATAATATATCTTTACCTTAGTTTTTATTTTCCTTGGACAGTCTTTCTTAATATCCAGAATATGGAATGTATAAAAAACATGCAGTTCCTAAGAAGGAGATTGGTTTTTGATTAGAATGGAAGGAATTCAAATCCAAGAAATATACTTAGGAATGTTACTGAAAAGTCTAATCGTGAAGACAGAGTTGCACAGGAAATGGAGATAAGAAAGTAAGGAGGGTTGAGGACAGATTTTATGGCTGTTGCCAAAGAAGGAGTGAAGACTTCCATCTAGTTCAGCTTTCCTAAGAAATTTATTTCTGTCTAAAAAGAAGGAACTGAGTTCAGAATGCTTACTTTACACTTAGATTCCTAGCATAAAATAATTGAAGACAGAGAAGCACACCCTTCAATTGGTTCACATCAAAGGAGAGAAGCTGGGAATCAGGAATCTGCAAACACTGACCCTTAGCACACGTCATGTGCAGTGTGCCAAATGGCTTTTACCTTTGGAATCTATAGATTTTAGCAGAAAAATACAATATTAAGGTGGACTGTGCCTGAGATTTGCACCCTTGGAAGCTGACATAATATTTACATAGGTCTGAATGCTACCTAGATTTGGTGAATAATTTATCTCCAATTTCAAAACACCAATGAAGCCATGTGGAATCAGCTCAACTTGTTTAGCCCTGGACTAACCACAATCAACTTTATAAACAATAAAACAGAAAATTCTTAAAATCAACCCCAAATAGTACATTATGTACAAAATAGAGATGACTTTTGAGTGTTACTTCATTTTAGAGAAGAAATATTGGGCCTGAGGAAAAACTCCCTTGTTCACTAGGTCCTGTGAAATCCTTCCCCTGAGTGGTTGTTCACAATGATGCTCTGGATCCTGAGCAAATATTTGCAGCCCTAAGGGACTCCCTAAGTCCATGGAATATCTGATTTTATCCTCTACTACTGATTCACTCTAGATCAGTGTTGGTGAACCTATGACATGGTGGAGAAGTTGGTTTTTTTTTTATCACTGAAACATCTAGAAGATTTGCTATCCCTGCTCTAGGAAATGGCCAGTGCTTCATATAGAAGAGCGAGAGAAAGAATTTCCATGTACATTTTAGGTGGTGTAGCAAGTCTCCACATGAGGATCCATAATGTACCTGATTCTAGGAGTTCTGTGTCTGCAGAGCAGCTCAGATATGGAGAGAATGAGGAGCCATAGTTTCACATTGACTAAACTGTGCATATAGCCTCACTGCTCTTCTTCAAATGAATGGATTAGAAAGTGTGGGTCCTGCTTTACCTTGGTCTTAACCATCCAACAGAAAAGTATAAAAACAGAATATAAGAAGTAAAGCCATGGTCTTATGTTGAGCTGTAGGAGACTCAGGTCAACAATTTCTGACATTGCCAGTGGAGCGGAAGACCCAATACTATTATGGACTACTGGACTCTTTGAGATTATTTTGCTGATTTAGCACACCTCTAATATTCAAATAATGGAACTTAACAAAAAGGGTATACAGATGAATGTCCATTTTGTATCTGTGTATTCAAAGTGGTTAGGATAGATATATAGTTACATTCTCTTAATGAATAGAGGGATTTGTTCTAATGATGTTTGTAAGTAGGAAATCATGTCCGCATCTTGTACAGCAATTAACCACTGGGAGGAATGTATGCAGTGTGTTAATTATTGAAACTGTCCTATCAATTTGATTTGAAACTGTCTCATTGCTATTTGTTTCTCAATAAAATTATGGAAAAAAAGAAAGTGTGGTGTATACACGAGAAGATACTATGGTGGCATAAAAGGAATGCAATTATGCCAATTCCAGAAAGCCATGGAAGTGTGTTCCATCATATTACACAATTATAGCTGAACTCAGAATGTTAAGTAGCAGGATTTTTGTTATACAGAAAAAGTAAACCATACACAAGTATATTCATGAAGAAGGGATGGCATAAGTGTAGGCAGAGCCTACAGAAGATGGGGATGGACTCAGAGTGGAAGGAGAAGAGAGGCAGAGGATGAGACTGAAAAGGATCAGGATGTACTCCTTGCAGCTCCCCAATCCCTCACACACCCCTTACTATTCTATGTTACTTATGTGCCTTAAAAATAAACAACAAATGGAAAACAATCAGTGTGTTTGGCAGAGATCTTCACATCTGTCTTCCTTGCAGAAGTTACCACCATGAAGAAATGACATCATGTGACCATCACATGATGTGTGAACTTAAAGCATGTCACACACACACACACACACACACACACACACACACACACACACGAAATACAATCCTTGTGTTAAGTGCACTGAGTCAGGCACAACAAGGCAAGTGCTGCCTGACCTCATCACGTGGGGTAAAAAATGCACACACTGTGTATTTGGGGATTGGTGTGCTGAGTAATTAAGGGGGACAGGGCAGGTGGGGAAGGCTTATGAAAGGGTTCACAGTGGTAGTTACAGAAGAAGTGTTCCCTGAGTTCTGAACAGTACAGATATGGATAATGTACAGTATATTTCAGTGGGTTGAATGAAAAAAAATTAGATTTTTCACAGAAGGGATTGATAAAAAATTTAAAAGATAGGTAAGTTTCTCCCAAATCAACATTATACAATGTACACAAATGGAAATATATGATGCAACACCCATTTTTAGATGTCAAGTGAACAAATAAAGAGATGAGGCAAGGTAGGGAGAAGCAGATGGGGGAAGAGAAATAAAAGGGATCCAGATGTGCTATGAGCATGCACCGACTCTCTGTGATAGACAATCTTCATTTACTTCACACCTGTGACAAGAAAATAAAGAATTGAAGTGAATTTATAAAATATCTTCCTAAGTAACTAACAATTCACAAAGGGTAACCTTCCTGAAATTCCTGTCCTATTTAAATGTAGAGCAAGCAGAGCAGAATCAATCTAAGCGTTAATCAGTGAGCAGGATATTTTTTGAAGGAGAAATCTCAGGACAACCACAGAAAAGTGTACTGCCAATCTGTAGAGGATCAAGAGAGAGTGTCTGGGCTGAAGACTAGTCTCCACTTTTTAAATTAATTTTATTGAGAAACAAATAGTAATGGGACAGTTTAAAAAAACAGGATAGTAGGACAATTATAATAATTAATACACTGCATATTGTTGTCTTCATAGTAGTTATTCATAGTACAAGATGCAGAAATGATATCCTGTCCATACACTTTTAGTACAAATCTTATCTCTCATTGAATTGAGAGAAAGTAGCAGTATATCTAATCTAACTATTTTGTATATACAGATACAAAATGGTCTTTTATTTATATCCCCCTTTTACATTTAGTTTTGTCAGAGATGGGTATTCCATTGCCATTTAAATATAATAAGTGTGTGAACTCAGCAAAATAATTCAATATAGTCCAGTAGTCATAGTGGGTTATCTGTAGGACTATACAGACCTCAAAAATCATCTCTGAAATTTCTGGGCTCCAGACCTTGTT